ATAATAATAATAATAATAAAAATAATTAAAAAAAAAAAAAAAAAATAATAATAATAATAAAAATTTAAAAAAATAATAATAAAAATAATAAAATAATAAAATTAATAATAATATTTTTGTTTACCTTATTTCTCACTGAACTTGTTGTTTTACCTTGTTAATAATAATTAATAATAATTTTAATTAAGCGCCAATATCACTAAACCGAAGTAAAAATCAAAAGGCGCTGAGCCATGTTCAAAATGTTAAAAAGGTGGGTTTTGAGTTTAGTATTAAATATAGCAACTGAAGTTGAGTCGGTAATATGTTTTAGGAGGGAGTTTCAAAGTGTGACAGCTGAAAATAAAAATGATCTGTGGCCGTAGGATTTGGTGTTTGGTCTAGGAACAATTAACAAATTAAGGTCTGAAGAACGGAGGGAGGATATGGAGACATATTTAGGAAGGAGTTCAAGTAGGTAAAGTGGTCTGTTGGAGTCGTAGTGCTTTCTGTGATGTGGGTCCTTTTTGTTGAATAACAATAATAATATTATTATTATTATTATTATTACTACTAATAATAATAATATAAATAATAATAATATTTTTGTTTACCTTATTTCTCACTGAACTTGTTTCTGTGATGTGGGTCCTTTTTGTTGAATTGATTTTAAATTTTGATGTAATATATTTTAGCTTTGAATGATATTCTGCTTTTGTAAAATTCAACCCCTTTTTGGGAGTTGCAATAAAGAATGATTTTATTTGATTTGAACATAAAAATTACCAACTTACATAGAAATTACAATATTTTTTAAAAATTCCAACATTATTGGAATCTCTCAATCCCACTAAATTTGTCGTCATGACTATTACTCTTTAAAAAAAAATCCCCTTTAATTATAACCTTAATGGTACTTGTATTAGCAGAGTTTATGTACGAAAAGTTCTTGGTGTCCTTTTGGATTCAAAACTTAATTTCAACCATCATGTTGATGACATTGTCAGCAAAGGCAACCGGTTGCTCGGAGTATTTTGGCGTCATTGTAAAACCCTCAACCAAAAAACCAAATTGCATCTTTACATTTTTTAGTTAGACCTATTTTTGATTATTCTAGTGTTATTTATAATTCTATTTCTGTCTTACAAGCCCATCGGATTGAGAGTCCAGTCTAATTTTTTTTATATTTTATAAATCATAATTTTAAAAATGACGATATTCTTTCATACACTCTTCCTTCACTTAGTGAAAGGAGAAATATATTTGATTTTTAAATGTGTTAATTCTATTTTTGATACTACTTTATGTTCTTTATTCCTTCTTAAGATTAATAGACCCGGTTCCCATCGTAATGATCTATTTTTTGTTCCCTTTAACAGAGTCAATTGCACTAAAAATGGTTTTATTCATCGTTTTGCCAACTTTTTTAATAACCTTTATCACAATTTTACATTAATCGATGTTTTTCACCAGAGCCTTAGTTCATTCAAAACCAGCTTATCGCAATCTTTACTTCGTAATACCAAGTGACTTATTTTGTGGGTGGGTTAATTCCTTTATTCCTTTGCTCCTTGGTCTTTTTCTTTGTTTTTTATTGTTTTGTCTTGTGTGTGCTTTCTTTTTTTTTCTCACATCTGTTCTGTCTGTATTTTTATGTGTTTTTTCTTTTCTGTTTTGTCTGGCTATGTTTTTGATTGCTCTGTTCTGTCTGTGTTTCTGTTGGACCTGTCTTCTGTGTTTTGTCTGTATTTGCATGTTTACTTATATTTATTTGTATTTTTATCAGTATATTTTATCTGCAATTTTTAGCTTAAGATGTTCCTCTTCGCAATATTTTTGTAAATTTTATCAATTCCATTTCATAGTACATTTTAATTAATTAATTATTCACTTGTTTTGCATTTGTATGTTTTTATATATTTTTTGTATTTTATCTGTATTTTTTGTATCTGCAATTTTTAGCCTAGGATGTTCCTCTTCGCAATATTTTTTTGTAAAATTGTTTATATTTTTATGTACAGTATCGTATTTAAGACATCATGTAATTGGCTTTTTACCGTTGGATGATGTTGGAAATAAAATGTTTACCCATTAACACTTCCAATCACAGGTTAATAATTTGTATGTTACTGCAAAATGTTAATTTCAAAATTATGTTTTACGATATCTTGTCATTTTCAAGCTAGTGACAATATATCTTTAATGTAATATAGACTAGTTAGATTTATATAGCGCTTTATACCGAAACGGTCTCGAGGTGTGGACTATGTCTTACAGTAACTTACTTCTTCCCTAATGGCCTTTTTTCTGAGCTACCCGGTAAACCGGTACCAACTACTCTCGTCTATCCACAACAGGGGATGAATGGACCAGTGCACCGGGGTAATCCCTCGTAACTCATCTCGAAAGGTGTAAGCGTTTTTTTTAAAAGTACACATGAGCTTTATTACAGTAACAAACCTCAAACATTCTATCTACAACATTGAGCATTTTGGAGTAGTGGTCCGAAATACTAGACACTGAGATCAGCGATTAAGATGCTTTTTATAATAACATTACGTATATTAAGAATGGTTCACAGATACATTTTATTTTTATTAATAAACCAAATATAGGCTACAACCTAAGACCTTACAAATCAACCATGATTAGCCCACAACGATAGCACATGGGCGGTGGCGATGATAGGGACGAATAAGGATATAGCACTTTCCTAGGCTGAGTGATTGTGTCGTAATTGTAAAGGCCTAAACTCGTAGTAGACACTGCATGTCATTAAGACCAATAATTCCGAATGAACAGCACAAACACATCAAGTTTCATTAATTTTGCCACAGACATTTAATCGGTTGAGGACTGAAAATTTCCAATTGGAACTGAATCCTATTCATCGTTTCCTATAATTATTACGATCTATTTCACTTCAAGATTACACAATTAGAGAAAACAAATATTTAAGGATACGATTAGGAACATAAACAATAAATTAAACAAAATAAAATAAACAATAAACTATAGAAGTTTTGATGAGTTCCGTTTTACTAAATCATACTTTCTTGAAGTGTAAAGGTTAAGTTGGAATACCCAACATCTTTTCCAACATCTTCGCCTGGTCGCTAATTCTGTAGATTTGGTAGGTTACAGTGTGTAAACACTTTTTGTACTATTGTTTTAAATTTTTACTCCGAAAGTTACACTAGCACTAAAGCAAAGAAGAAACAGATTGAAATAAATAAATATATATATATACATATATATATACATATATATATATATATATATACATATATATATATATATACACATATATATATATACACACATATATATATATACATA